GATCGGCAGTGGTTTGCACTCAGACTTGTAGCAGAGCGTATTGAAAGGGTGTTCACACGGCAACATTTGCTCCGGTGCTGCGCCGGGGCTGCCCCAGTAGAGCGTTCACACGTGCAAAGTTACACCGATGTAGCCCCTGAAAACAGCTTAAACCGAAGCAAATTTAACCCTGCTCAAGGAGGTGGTTTAAAAATTTGCTCTGGAGCAAATGCTCGTTTGCGGGGCAGCACCGATGTAAAATGGTACGTGTGAAAGCTACAGGGTTAAAAATTTGCTCCGGAGCAAATGGTCGTTTGCGGGGGGAGTAGCCTCGTAACGCATGAGAAGAGTTGATTACATACGGCTAGAATGCGTTCGTGCTCTGTTGTACTTCCATCATCTTTCCTTTTGTAGGAGACTGGACTGTCTCGGAGTTGTTTGTGTAGTTTGTTCTTCTGTTGTGTGTTCACAACCCCCCCATAGAATTTATTTTGTGATTTCCTCTCTTGAATTTCTGCTTGGCGAATTATGTTTGCTTTTCTGAGTGTTATTGAAGTCATCGTTGATTTACGTTTTCGGGGGGCGGTCACTGAACGCCTCTCGAGCAGAAGGCACGAAGACCGAGAAGGAGAAGGACGTGCCTGTACAGTAGTTGCTTGAGTTGTGTATGTTTTAAAAAGAACCAACACGACAGCTCTTTGTTTTGCACCACTGCAGAAACTGCCGTGTGAACTCAAGTGGGGCTGCGGCGGGCAGGCGCCCCGGAGTGCCCGCTCAGCGGCTTTGTACGTGTGAACGCTCCACAAAATTTGCTCCAGTGTAAGATATATCGCAACAAAATACATCGGTGCAGCACCGAAGCAAATGTGTGCCGTGTGAACACACCTTGAGTCAAAAAATGGACTTAGGTCCTGTTGTTTGATCCACACCAGGATGCATTTGTGTGTCTTCACATCTGCATAAAAGGTCCGGGCCAGCGTAGGAAACAAAGCCTTGTCCAAACCTTTTTGACCAAAGATCCACTTTTCGATCAACCAATCTCCCGCGATCGACCCGTGACCGCGCACGTGCGCATACGCACGCACGCACGCCATGATGAGCAGCAGCCTGACGCTGAGGCAGCCTGTTAACGATTGTAGCTCACGCGTATCGTTTTAAAATGCTTCTCTTGGCCCTCCAGATTCCCATTCTTTACCTGTCCCCTCGGTGAATTGGTCAAAACAAACTCTGAATGAGAATAATGACAATGATAAAAGATATAGCGCAACAACTCTGATCACAAGCTGCAACTGCAGACTGCAGAGCGCTAACAACTTCCGGTGACGCGGTTAAAGATGACCTGCTTTATTTTATTTTTTAAATACTTTTTGTGAAAGTGAGACTGATAGAATGATTAGGGTACAGTGTGCATTAACGCAAAAAAATATACAGGGTGTCCATAAAGTCTCTTACATTTCAAAAAAATCATGAAAAATGCAATTGATTCGGTATTTTATTCAGATTTGTTCAATTGTATTCAGCGTTTATTAAAGGTTTTTTTTTTAACCTCTTTTAATACATTTCTACATGGGCACCATTAGTTGCACGAAGCACATCAAGACGGTACTCGATTTCTTGCCATGTTCGCTGTAGCATAGTCTCATCAATTGTGGCAATGGCATCAGTAATCCTTTGCTTTAGGTCAGTAATGTCCCTTTGTTCGATACATGATATCTTTAACATAGCCCCATAGAAAGAAGTCCAGGGGATTGATATCTGGTGAATGTGGCGGCCAAGGAATTGGCCCATCCCTTCCAATCCACCGGTCTGGAAATGTTTGATTGAGGAACCCATGATCATGCAGCCCCTAATGTGCTTGCTGAAAAATGATGGTCGGTTGAAGGTCATTCAGTTGTGGAGCCACACATTTAGTTAAAAGGTCAAGGTAAACATTTGCAGAAATTGATGTCTCGTTGAAGAAAAATGGACCAATTATTCGATTTCACATGATGAGGGATGAGAGTGGCTCGTGATGAAAAAAAACGGAAGGGGGCGTGGCCGGGACGGGGCGGGGCCACTTACAAAAGTGGCACGAAACATGCTGAAGATGAAGTGTATTCAATTTACACACAATTTGAAACTTTAACAGAAAAAAATCCCAAGATTGTTCACTATTCTTTCAAGTGAAAATTTGTGCAATTTTGCTTATGCATTCCTAGTGAGCACCAACATGTAACTTCAAATTTGCTGCT